TCCCAGGACAGGGCAGGCAGGGCCAGGCTACCGGGGAGACACGGACCATGTGGCGTCCGCATTCAGGCTGCTTGTCGTGGCTGACCCTAGCGGTGTCGAGAAGGACAGAGAAGTCGGGAGGTGCTTGAAGGACAGGTGCCCCGGCCCCGTGCGTCCCGCCCTGACCCCTGGCTCATGGGCTCTCACCGGCGAGTCTGGTGGTCTGCACCCTGCTCTCTGCTGGGGCGGGCGACTGTTGCAGTGCCAGGACATGGGGCGCTGGGGGGCGGGGGCCGGCATGTCGCTCCTTCCCGGGTGCTGAGGGAAGCGCCTCACTGACAGCCTTTAGAGTGTGTGGTTGCCTGACTGGCGAGCGGGCGGGGATGTGGGGCTCCGGGGCTCCATCCGGAGGGGGCTGCTGCTCAGCTCACCCCGCGCTGCCCTCTGGCCTCCAGGGGGAGTTTGTGAACGAGTATGTGGGCGAGCTGATTGACGAGGAGGAGTGCATGGCGAGAATCAAGCGTGCGCACGAGAACGACATCACCCACTTCTACATGCTCACCATAGACAAGGTAACAGGGGCGGCTCCCGCCCGTCTCTGCAGGACTGTCCTCCGCCACGTCTGCCGGGGCCAAGCACCCCGCGCAGAACTTCTGGGAGCCCCGTGTGTCCCCGATGCGCACAGGGGCACCAATAGTCCTCCCGGGGCCAGAGAGGAGGGCTCGGGAGGTCACCCTCAGGGACTCAGGGAGACTCCCAGGGTGCCTGTTCCTTGTCTCAGGCCCACGTCTGTCAGCAGTGGGGGCATGTATCCTCTGCGGGGCCCAGCGCTCAGGCGGTGCTGAGCTGGACCGTCACAGGAGGGGGTGAGGAGAGCAGGCTTGTCGGGAGCAGTGCCCTGCTGACCAGCCCTCTCTGGGGACTCTAGGGACACAGCCATCCCAGGAGGTGGCCGATTTCCGCACCCCCTGCCTTCCCCCCTTCTTTTGGGGTGTGGTGGTGAGGGAGGTTATTTTATTAGAAATGAAAAACCCTAGGCCTGTGCCTGCCTGTGTTTCAGAGTCTAAATTTGAACTACTTGTATCTTGTAAGAAATGCCAGGTTGATCACTTGACACACAGATCAGCCCTGAGATGATCTTCACGGAGGGCCCCTCCTGACACAGAGAGAAGCCCCGACAGCCTGCCCTCCACCTTTCTCCCGCGAGAACCAAAGGAAAAGCCCTGCCTCCCTAATGTGTACCGCGCAGTAGAGCGAGATCTCTGTGAGACGGCCCTCACAGACTTCGCTCTGCTGAGAATCTGGGACAAGAAGCCCAGATCCGAAAGAGGGTATTAAGTGTGTTACAAAACGTTTAAAGCCTTAAAAGATTTAGAGACACAAAAGATACTGAGGAATAAATCCGGCATATTTGATAAAACGGTTAAAACTGGGAGTTAACATAAATTCAGTGAAATTAACCCAGTGGATGGGCTAAGAAAAATTAGATGGTGACAGAGGAAGTTACTGCCACTGAAGAACCTTCCGAGAAACTGTCTGGACGCAGCAGACGTGCTGAGACCGGGTGGGAGAGGCAGGGAGACGGGAAAGGGACATTCTGTAGGCGTGAAGGAGAGACGGGAGGCCTGGGGAGAGTCCTCCAGATCTGTGTGACACGGGTCATTTCATGGATGAACGTGACCAAGTTTTGGAGCAGGGTAAATAAAAATAAATCTATGCCTTTATATGTTGTTTAAAAAAAAACAAAACTGTAAGATGCCAAACGTGAAGACTTGGAAAGCAAGCGAGGGGCTTCCCTCGTGGCCCCACACTTGGGATCTGTCACTGCCGAGGGCCTGGGGTCCGTCACTGGTCTCGGAACTAAGACCCCACAAGTTGGGCAGTGAGGGCCCTTCCCCAGGCCGGCGGAGAAGAGAAGGGTGTTTTCTCGGAATGGCAGTGGGACAGCCAGCCTCCCCGCAGTGTGCAGTCACGTGTACTCTGACCCGTTTGCTCCGCTGCTGGCCTGGCTGGACCTGCAGGCCGGTCTGCGTCTTCAGCGGGTCCGTCTTGCCCCCATCAGCGTGTGTGTCTAGGTGGTGGGGTGACCCCTGACTTCTCCCTCCCTGCCGCCCGCTCACCAGTGCTTGGTCTCTCCACATGGTGCTGACCTGCCCTCCGTGAGCCAGAGAAACAGGACTGGTTTGGGGGTGTCCCATCCGAGCAGCCGTGGGGGACCATGGTTTCCAGTGCAACACTGCTGTCCGCGTGGGGCAGAGCCTTGGGTGAGCTCTGGATGCGCCGCGGGGGCCCCATGACGCCTGGGTTGTGCCTTGCAGGACCGCATCATCGATGCCGGCCCCAAGGGGAACTACTCCCGGTTCATGAACCACAGCTGCCAGCCCAACTGCGAGACCCTCAAGTGGACGGTGAACGGGGACACACGCGTGGGCCTGTTCGCCGTGTGCGACATCCCCGCAGGTATGCTGCCTCGGGCTGCACTCGGGGCTCCCGGCCAAGGGGCAAGCAGAGGACCCCGGCCCAGGCCGCGTAGCGGGTCGGGAGCGCGGGGTGGTGGAGCAGTTGTGTCTTGCTGGGAGCGCCCCCTTCGCAGAGCAGACTGGGAGGCTCCGGGGGCTGCCCCCGCAGCGGGGAGGCTCTTGGGGAAGACGGGAGGCCACGCCCCCAGCGCTGTGTGTCCTCGCAGGGACAGAGTTGACCTTCAACTACAACCTCGACTGTCTGGGCAACGAGAAGACGGTGTGTCGCTGCGGAGCCTCCAACTGCAGCGGCTTCCTCGGTGACAGGCCGAAGGCGAGTGACGGCAGGGACGGGGCCTGCGGGGCACCACGGGGTTGGGGGCTCACGGTCTGGGCCATGAGCCGAGGCCAGGTGCGGTCAGCGCGGGTCTGCTCCCGGGCCTGGCGCCCGCACCCGTGTCCTCAGCATCCCATGGCCACCACCCCACCTCCCCAGGCCTGCATCCCAGCTGCGTGACCGTGAGGCCCGCAGCAGCCCTGCTCCCTGTGGTGCCAGCAAGCGTGGGGCTCAGGACACCGGCCCCTTCCTGAGGATGCTGGGTCGCCGCAGGCGTCCGGCCTGGAGTTGCAGTGTGTGGGCCGGCCCGGCCTGGCCCGGCTCTGGTGTGTTCTCGCGTCCTGAATGAGGTCCTTGGGGGCCCAGGCACGCCATGTGGGGAGCAGCCCGTCTGCCACATAGTCCCCAGGCAGACGGGCCGCCATGCCCGCACCCCCTGTGGCCCCTGCGGCCCTCCCGGGCTCCCAGCCCCTGTGCTGACTGTGCCAACTTCCCCGTTGCAGACGTCGGCACCCTTGTCTGCGGAGGAGAAGGGCAAGAAGAGCAAGAAGAAGGCCCGGAGGCGCCGCACAAAGGGCGAAGGGAAGAAGCCTTCGGAGGACGAGTGCTTCCGCTGCGGCGACGGCGGCCAGCTGGTGCTCTGTGACCGCAAGTGCTGCACCAAGGCCTACCACCTGCCCTGCCTGGGCCTGGGCAAGCGGCCCTTCGGTGCGTCGCGGTGGGCGCCCTGTCTCTGCGGGGTGGGAGGGTGCCGCCAGCTGTGGTCGGGAAGGAGCCCCGAGGCCCTGGCCCCAGACCAGAGGGAGGCAGACAAGCGAGCCTGGACAGGAAGCTGGGGGCGGGGGACAGGCCGACAGGTAGATGGCGGTTCTCCAGACTGAGCAGAGCGCCTTCACAGGTGCACTTCCGAGGCAGGGCCCCCAGAAGCTCGGTCCAGCTACAGCCGGTCCTGGGAGCGGCCGGGGAGGCCGCTGGCCTGGGCACGGACATGGGCTTGCGCACCCGCCGGGCCTCTGAGCACTAGCGTTAGCTTTCTTCCGTCTTACGAGTCATGTGCAAAGGCGGGTGCATCTCACTGGAGTGAGAGCTGGCATGAGGCCCGGCCCTGGCGGGTGACGCTCAGTCTCCTTGCAGGGAAGTGGGAGTGCCCTTGGCACCACTGCGACGTGTGTGGCAAGCCCTCCACCGCCTTCTGCCACTTCTGCCCCAACTCCTTCTGCAAGGAGCACCAGGACGCCGCAGCCTTCAGCTCCACGCAGGACGGGCGGTCCTACTGCAGCGAGCACGACTTCCGGGCGGAGCCGGCTCGGAGCGCCAAGACCGAGCAGCCCTGCGCGGGGCCCGGCAAGGCCAAGGGGCGGCGGCGGCGGCGGCGGTGTTGGCGCCGGGTCACGGAGGGCAAATAGCGCCTGGCTGGGGCTGGGTCCGACCAGGGGTGCCACGGGTGGGCGGAGGGCCAGGCCTGGCAGCAGCGGAGGCCCCCGCCCCCGGCCCCCCCGGCACAGACGCACAGGCCTCCCCGGGAGGGAGCGCCCCACCACTGAGCCATCTCAGCAGCGCCTGCTGCGCCCGCACTGACCGTCCGGGCCCCGCGGCTACCCCGCGAGGCGCCGACGTTCCAGGACAGACAGCCTCACTACACAGCATCACAGCCACACTTGAACCTCAACTCGTCCGTGCCCGCTGTTGTTGTAGGCCAAGTTTAGGATTGAAGATTAACTGGCACATGAAATGCGTTTCTCTCACCGAGGGGTAGGGTAGTGTTTCCCTGAGGGTCTCATCCCATCTTCATGACGTTGCCCGATCCCCGCCCACCCGCGTCACCCAGGAGAGGAGCCCAGGGTGGGGCCTGGCACGGACCGGGACCCTGCACGCCTTGGGAACGAGGTTTTTGACTATTGCGCTTATGAAACAGCTGTATGGTTTTTTTTTCTTTGTACTAATGTGAAGTTTTTCCTCAAAATGCTTCTTTTCCATCCTAGAAGCCAACAGTATAGCGTGTGGATCCCTGGAGCAGCTCCGTCTGTGGACCTGGCCCCACAGCGGGCCTGCAGCACAGGCCCTCGCGCGGGGGGCGTTTGTGGTTTGTTTGGTTATCTTGACCAGTTTCTGGCTTTTACTCTCAATATATTTTTGCTAAACTTGTTTCACAAACTACCACCGACTGCAATGCTTGTTTACTGATGCGTCCCGACTTCCCGCAGCCGCAGGACGGAGCGGTGGCCATGGCCCTGCCGAGGAGCCTGGGCTGCCTGGTGCTGGGCCTGGAGCTCGAGGGGAGCCTGCGTCCGGACAGCCCTTTCGGGCCAAGGAGAGGCCGCCTGGGCAGGGGCAGCAGGAGCCGGGCTGGTCAGACGGGCTCAGCGGGGGGCACTCGGGCTGGGCCGCCGGGCGTGGGCACCTGACCTTGCGACAGCCGGCTGACGCCCCCGGGGCGCCGCGGGGACCCAGGCCCCAGGGCGAGGGGGGGGCCCCTCAGCAGGTGCGGCTCCCTGACCCTCTCACCAGGACACGCAGAGGACACCCGTCCTGCGGTTCACACACCTGCCCCGGGAAACTGCCCGAGGGTGCCTGTTCCTCTCACCATCCCGCCTCGGAACCGCGGGGTGTGCGGTCCACCGATGAGCCGTTGGCAGGGGGTGGGGGTCTCCACAGCCGACCCCCGGGAAGCATCTGTTCCGGGTCCGAGGCTCGCACGGGCTCCCGGGCACAGACCAGGAGGAGCTGCTGACCGAGGCGCCCTGTTGGCCCTTCTCTGGTGACCCTGGGACGAGTGGCCACGTGGGACCAAAGGCGAAAGCAGCTGCGTCCCCAGTGGCCCCGCTGTCTCTGGGGGCCGTGCAGAGCTCTCTGACTGACTGCCAGGAGCACTGGGTGGGTGGAGGCCACCTCCTGAGGCCCTGTGCTTGGGGGGGCCGGGCACAGCCCTGCCCTGCAGAGCCGGGCCTGGGGGGGCGGCCCCGTCCTCTCCTGCCAAGGTGGGGCCTCTGCCCCCCAAGGCACCGCCACTGGTTCTGCAGTTGCTTTTCCACTTTGGGAACAGGTTAACTTATTTTTATATTTGACAGTAGTCAAGTTTTGTGATCTTTGAGTCACTCTGATGTTTCCAAATTCTTTTATGATCTTTCTGAAGGAAATACTGGAAAACTTACTTTAGATGTGGTTGCCCTCTTTCCAAAAATTACTATAAACTAATGAGCAAATAACACTAAGTTTTGAGAATCTCTAGAAGCCAGGTCACAGCGCTGAGCAGAACCCGGGCCTGGAGAAGCAGCGAAGGGCCTTCCCGGCAGGGCCCCGGCCTCCCTCCGTCGAGGCCTCTGCCCCAAATCGGAGGGGCGCTGGATGTGGGGAATTCGGTCTTCTCTGAACCTCAGCCTCAGTCCTTGGTTGTTAACATGAGGCAGAAAAAAAAAGCAAAGCTGCCCAAGGGCCTCAGGACTCAGCACGGGGGTGGCCAGGCTCCCTGGGTGCCGACGGCCTCGGGGCTCCTTGTGGGCAGGACGCAGGCCCCCGTCCCATCCTCCCAGGGGCTGGGGTCACCCCGCTGCCGTCCCAGGCAGGACCCCCCTGACCTGCGAACCACCACGTGTGTGCAGCCCCTTCTCCAGCCACCTCACCCTCGGGAGTAAGACGAGCCCGTTCTCATCACTCAGAGACCGTCAGGCGCCAGACCCTTGACCCCACGAGACGTGTATCGAACGAGGACGTTCACGTGCGACGCCGTCTGCAGGCGGCACGGTGCCTACCGCCCTGCCGCCTCGAGGCGTGGACTGAAACGACTCCAGCACGCACACCAGTGTCTCAGCAGCGCGTGGACGCGGGCCAGGCTCCAGCTCTGGGGTGCCCGGTGCTACCGCCAGTTCTGACAGACTTAAAAACTTGAACTTCACTTCTGGGGGGATATACTGAAATGTAGATCTGAGAATTTCTGGTTGGGGGTAAATAGCGTTTTAAGGTTGGAAATTGTGTCTGAAGATTGTATGAGTATTTTTGTATTAAAAAAAATTTAAAGGCTTTTTTCTTAAACTTATTTTATGTGGGATTGTTGTTTTTTTTAATTTTTCCAATTTAAGGGGGGAGGTGGGGAGAGGGGGCTCGCCACACATGTGGGGTCCTACTTCCCGTCCAGGATTGAAGCCGCACCCCCTTCAGCAGAAGCAGGGGTCCTAAGCTCTGGAATTGTCTTGCTCTGAGCATCTGACACTGTCCTGACGCCCAGGGAGAGGCCACCGTGGCCCTGGAAGTGGTGGTGGGGCTCTGATTCTGCACACCCGCCACCCGCCCAAACGTGGCAGAGTCAGGAGAGGAGCTTCATGCGCCTCAGCCCCAAGGCCCGTTGGTCTCCTGACTCCCAGCCTCCGATGTGCCCCCCACCCCCAGCATCCAGAGTGAGGCCCCGGAGCAGAGAGGTTGAGCTGGCTGGAAAGACAGCTCTGGTGCTTTTTCTTTAGAAAAGCTAAACTTTAATTAGGTAGTTTTTTTACAATGAAAACAGGTACCCAAGGACTGGTCATAAATGCTCACGACTGTACAAAAGGCAAATACAAAACCTGTGGCTGTGAGCGCGGCCCGCCCTGGGTCCTGGGCCGGCCCCACCCGGCTGTGAACCACCGCGGGCGCCACCTTTGGTCCCTCAACCGTGGGGGTGGGGCCCGTGCTGCCCCGGCAGGGAAGCCCTCCAGGTCGGCGGGATGTAAGAAAAACTAAGAAAAGGAACATGTCGAACAGGCGGAGCTGTTTCCCAGATTAAGAAGTTATAACTTTTTTTGCTGAGTTTAACATTCAAAAACGCAATATTGAATCCAAAAGTGTCTTAAGTCACACAAAAAGGACGCATGTTAAAATTTAGAAAACGAGTCCAGGGCGCCGCAGAGAAACCGGGCCTGAGGCCTGAGCGGGCGGGGCCGCCCGCGGGCCTAGGAAGCGTTGGCCATGGGCTTGTACTTCTTGAAGCGCGTCCACTGGCCGGTGGCGTAGTTCATCTCAAACACGGTGTCCACCAGCATGGTGGTGCTGCCCTGGCCGTCCGACTTGGGCAGGTCCTCCGTGTGCTCGCTCAGCTTGATCTGGATCACGTCGCCCTGCTCCTGGCACGGGTTCTCTGTGGGGGCGGGCGGGGCCGCTGGGCGGGGCCGGGCTGCAGGGCCGCCCCCCGGGGCCCGCCCCGCCCCCTCCACGGGACCCGCCCCCCGCCCGCGGCCCCGCCCCCCTCCACGGGACCCGCCCCCCCGCCCGCGGCACCGCCCCCCCTCCACGGGACCCGCCCCCCGCCCGCGGCCCCGCCCCCGCGCCCCTCCACGGGACCCGCCCCCGCCCGCGGCCCCGCCCCCGCGCCCCTCCACGGGACCCGCCCCCCCGGGGCCCGCCCCCGCCCGCGGCCCCGCCCCCCCACGGGACCCGCCCCCCGGGGCCCGCCCAGCCCAGCCCGCGGCCCCGCCCCCCGCCCGCGGCCCCGCCCCCGCCCCAGACCCACCTCGGGAGCCGGCCATGAAGCCCAGGATGAGCGCCTTCTCGGGCCGCGTGACCTTATTGGCCGTCTTGAACATCTCCTGCGCCGCGAACATCTGCTCCCTCTGCGGGAAGGCCGGTGTGGGCACTGGGTTCCCACCCACCGGGCGCCGCCAGCACCCCAACCCCACCACCTACCGTGAGTGACAGGTTCTTCTTGGGCTGCTGCTGGGCGGGGGGCTGCTGGGCCTGGGGGGCCACCATGGCCACTGGAGGCGTCTGGGCGGCAGGGGCGGCGGCCGGGGGCGTGGTGGGCGGCAGGGGCGAGGGCGGCGCGGTGGGCGGGGGCGCCGCGGGGCTGGGCCCGCTATTGTACAGAGGCGCCCGCTGCTTGAACTGCGCCGGGAGCGCCGGGCTCGGGGCGCCAGGCTCCTCGGGGGGACGGCTGGCCTGCAGGCTGGCATCCCGCGAAGACGGGGCTGCGAGCAGAGCGTTGCCTGCTGAGGCCGAGACCCCTGCTCTGCGTCCAACCCCCGAACGAGAAGTGGACGCGCCCTGGTCCACGGCCGGGGAGGCTCCACACCGCCAGCATCTGGGGGCGAACCCGGGCGGGGCGGGAGCACAGGGCCCTGAGCCCAGCAGACGGGCGTCCAGGCTCCGGGGGCACCTGGGCTCTGAGGGGACGGGCCGCCCCAGGCCTCGGGGGGGCCACGCTTCCTGCCGGCAGCTGAGCTGGGCCCGCAGTGGATGCCGGGGTGGGCTTCAGGGACCCAGCTGCCTCTCCTTCCTGCCCACTTCTGAAACCACGGGGCTGGGTGGGCCCTGAGTCAAGGGACCCTGGCCTGGCCCCCTGCCCCCAAAGCAGGCCGCACGGGGTCGCTGCCTGCCCGGCCCTGGGAGGGTGGAGCCTGGTCCACGTGGTGAGGCTCATGCAGGCAGCAGGTCCGGGGAAGGGGGGCAGGCTGCTCACCTGGTGGCGTCTCGGAGTTGGGGACGTAGGAGGAGGCCGGGACCACACTGGGTGTCGCCGGCAGGTAGCTCGTGGAGGGCAGCGCAGGTTCACTGTTCAGAGACCCGAGTTTCTGGAAGACAGAGGCCACGTTCCTCCCAGAAGAGCCCTGGGCCCTGACCCCTCAGGGCCAGACCCCCAGCCTGAAGCCACCGGTGGGCGGCTGGGCTGGGCGGTCCCATCTGGTCAGGGACCCCCCCCCCCAAGCAGCTGTCTTTGAGGAAAAAATCCAACGATGCTTGTCTTGCCACAAATATGTGATAAAGGGAAAACCCAGTCCTTTCAAGACTGTGAGAACACACAGCTCTGCAACGCTCCCCGGAGGAGCCCGGCGGACAAGGTGACGCCCGCTGCTCGCCTGTGCGGCCCCCACAGCAGAGGGGCCTCGGTGCAGGGACGCCCTCCTGCAAGGCTGCCCGGCTGCCCCGCGGGACCGAGGGGATGCCAAGGAGCCCCTGCCCTGGGCCCGTGTCCACACCAGGCTCCCGTCGGCCCCCACGCTCCTGCGTGTGTCCCTGCGGACACACCCCAGTGGCTAACGCTGGGAAAGCAGCACCTGCTCTGCCACCCAGGCCCGCCCCCCTACCTGCGTGGACACCAGGCCGGCCGCGTAGTCGGGGGTGGCGTTCTCCACGACTGTCTCCTCCTTGGCAGGCTTCTCCACCGCCTCTGTGTCTGCAGGCAGAGCACAGCCTCAGTGCCCCACGCAGGGCCAATGGGCCCCCAAGGACACGGCCGCCTCGAGGGGGAGCCAGGCCAGTCTCAGGAGACGAGGCCGTCGCAGGCACAGGCGGTCGGGGAAGAAGCCGAGTACGCACCCAGGGCCCTCCTGCGCCTCTTGGCCTCCCGGCCGGCCCCGACCACGTCCAGCTCGGAGATGTCCAGGAGCTGCCGACAGACAGAGGCCGCTCAGCCTCGGAGGTGCGCCGGGCTGGCCCGGGGCTGCGCAGCGCCTGCACCCACCTTCACACCCCGCTCCTTCCGCAGGGGCGTCCTGGACGGCGGGATGGGCGTGCGGTTCCCGGCGGGGCTGAAGACGCTGGGGGCGCTGGGGCTCCTGAAGGGCGCCTGCTTTGGGATGCCTTTGAGCGGGGCTGTGGGGGGGCGGCCGTCAGGGGCCTCGGGCGCTGCCCGGCGGGTCCCCACAGCCCCCTCCGCGCCCTAAGGGCCCTAGGTCTCCTCGAGGGCAGGGGGCATGCAGACCCCAGGCCAGGGCCACAGCTCCTCCCCGCAGCGCCCCGGGCGCCATCTTAGCTGGAGGCCCAGCCGCCCCGTCTCTCACGGGGCCCGACGCGCGAGGCACGGTGCCTTCCGCAGGCCCCCATTCCTGCCACCCGGCCCAGCCCAGCACCCGTGAGCGGACGCCAGCACTCATGGGTCCTCAGAAGGCCTGCCAGACAGTGGGGACACCCCGAACCCCCTGTGGAAATCAGGCCCAGCTGGGGATGGAGAGGAGGTCGCGGCAACTGCGTCAGAGGACGGGGCGCGGGGGCAGGGACGTGGCGGAATGGGGGCTCTCATCCACCTGACGCAAGACCCGGGCACCGGGGCGGCGGGGGCCAGGCGCCCTGCAGCTCGGCCACTGCCCTGTCCGATCCCCCACCTGTGGGCCAACCCCGGGCCAGGCCGGGCAGACAGCACCAGAGGAGCTCCAGCCCCAAGAGAGGCCACGGGGGCCGACGGAGCTCTGCACAGAGAAACCGGGCCGTCCCGGGCCAGCACGAGGACCCAGACAGGAGGGGGTGGCCCACCACGCCCGCCGTGATGACGAGCGTCCCCCTCCAGGCCATGCCTCCTCGGTGGCGGAGGACCCCTCAGTCCACACAGCCGAGCCTTGCCCGACCCTTGCCCCGGGTGGTGGCCTTACTCGTGGTGTCCATCTTGCGGAGCAGTCCCCGGCCTTTAGCGTGGAAGGGCACACCTGCGCTCCTCTTGAGCTGCTGGGCTGTCTCGGTGGCTGGAAGACAAGGGCCGTGTCAGCGCTCCAGGGGGCTGTGGGCTCACAGGGCGGAGCGGCGAGGCCTCGAGGAGAGCCTGGGGCTCCTCCGTTGCAGGGGAGCGTCAGGACAGTGGGGGGGGGGGGGCCGAGGCCCCAGGTCCACGAGGCCACAGACCAGCGTGGAGCCATGGTGGTGGTGCTCTATCTGATTCTTTGAAAACAGGCCACTTACACAGTTATCAACACCAACACCAGAACCACTTAAAACAGAAGTCTGCTATCAGTCAAAGGAATCAATATCCTAGCCTCTTTCCCAACAAGCACCTTCTAGGTACATTTTATAGCTGCTACTTAAGGAAACACTTAGGAAAATGACCAAACATCTTTGTAGTCAAATTCAGGCCATTTGCAACTCCAGAACAGACAGTCAGGGGACTGTCTTGTCACTTGTGTGACTCAGCTGGTTCAGATAGTTTTTGGAACAAAGAATAAATACTTTCACCTGAAAACTTGCAAATTTCTACAGGAGATTTTTAGAACCTACAGTTTAGCACAGCAATCAATGAATTTCTAATAAAACAGAAAAAATTATGTACAACACTGTCTTTAAAAGATAATTAGGTACCATAAAACCTGAAGGAAACCTCAGAATAAAAACCACTGACATGGAACAGAAAGCACAGCTTGCTGGCAGCCAGGCTCCCCAAGCCTGCAGGACCTCCCAGGCCCAGCTGGGCAGGCGGCCCCGCAGAGGGCAGGCGAGGGCGCCCCCAACCCCGGGCGGGCAGAGGCCCCAGCACTCACACTTCTGCAGGAGCTCGGCCCTTAGCGTGGCGCTCTTCGGCTTCCTTTTCAGCTGAAAGTGCTTCACCGGGGGGGTGAGGGGGCCCGCTAGCGTCGTCAGGGCGTTTTTGTTCAGGTACTGGCATTCCAGTGGGAGCATAGCAGACGCCTCACACTCGTTCACTGCTCGGAGAGCCAGCGTGTCAGGAGGCGCACCTCCGCACACAGACCCTGTTTCCACAGCCAATGTGGAAGCGCAGTTTCCTATTTATGTTCGTGGAGCTTCTGCTTTGATCTCAAAACAGAGAACAAGTATCTGCTGACCGCACTCCTGCCATCACCCAGTAGTCAGGGCCACCGACCTGGGCCCAAGGGCGCTGGAATCCCCAAGGAGCAGCTTGAAGGCTGGAGCCCCTGGCCCAGCACAGCCAGCAGCCTCACGGCTGTCTGGACAGTACTCCGTGCATGCCCAGGGCCAACAGGACGAGGGTGCCAGCAGCGGTCCCGGTCTCCCCCCCACCCACCCCATCGGGGGTGCTCCCGTCCCACTGGACCCTGGTCCCCCGGAATGGCACCCAGGCCCGCGTGTAAGCTGGGGGCGAGAGCTCAGGAGCAAGGAAAGCAGACGGCCCCACACTTCCAGCCCCGGGGAGCACTCTGAATCTCCCCAGGGCTGCAGACAGAGTGGGCCCCTGCCCTCCAAGAGCACACCCGGGAGGACCTGGACCTGCCGGGACCCTGGACGAGCTAGTCCCTGGGACACAGACAGCCGGTGTGCGCCCTGATGCTCTGGGGCGACCATGGGTCGGTGGGCCAAGCGCAAGTCTGCAGAGCGGGAGCAGCCACCCCAGGGCCAAGAGCAGGCACGGGCAGCCACCTCGGACAGCCAGGCCGCCGGCCCTGCAGCAGTGCTGGGGGACAGGCCCACCTTTCACAAGCTGCGGTATCAGTTCTCAAAACTAGACGGGTTCGGGGAGGAACAGGCCTTCCCATCTTTACATGTTCTTCTGTCTGTTTGCAAGTAGTTCCTAAGTGGTTTGGAGTTCTTTTCTGGACAGACGCGCTGCGGGTATTTTCAGCACGCACAGGAGTGGCCAGCCCGTGCCAGGGAGCACCCAGGCTCCGGGGAATGGCCCGCGTGGGCCGGGCCGGCCCGCCGGGAACTGAGGGGGGTTGTGCAAGGTGAGTACAGGTCGCCACGGTGCTCAGAACAGGGCGGGGACCCGACTCAGGACACGACAGTCACATCAGGAGCGCTCTCAGGGCAGGCCCCTGCCTGCCCCGCAGACCGCACACCCAACATACCCTTCTCTCTGAGCTCTCCTAAGATATCTTGGACGTTAGGGTTCTGCTCCTCCAAATCCAGGTTAAGGGACCCGGTGTCAGGGAAGGACTTGAGGATGTCGGCCACCATGAGCACCCAGGGGTCCGAGTCCAAGGTGGCGAGCTGGATGATCTCCGTGAGCGCGCCCTTCATCTGCCAGAGAGCACAGGCGAGCGTCCTGGGCCACCCCGTCCTTCCCCTGCGCGGGCCTGCGGGCGGGTGCTGAGCTGGGCCTCTGAGCGCCTCACCTTCTCACACACGGGCCCGCGTCAGGTCTGCGGGGCTCCCGCGGGCACCGAGGGGCCCAGCCTCAAGGGGCCCTCCCCTGAGCCCCAGGGTCACCCCACTGCCCCGGCTCCCCGGCTCGCAGACCCCCATCGAGAGCCCCCATGGCCTCCCAGCACGCAGCAGACAGAACAGGAACCTGCAGACAGGGTGTCGGGTGTGGAGCTGGCCAGGGCGGACGGTGGAGAGCGGGCCTGGCGGGCAGAGCCAGCAGGCAGGGAGCGGGCAGGGAACGGGCAGAGGCTGCCACGAGGCCCTGAGCCCCTGGCCACGTCTTGGCTTCTGGGACGGAGCAGCGCCCAGGGAGGCCGCCCTCCTGAGGCCCCGGTGACAGGGGCCTGGGCCTGCCAAGGCCTCAGCCACCTCCCCAGGCCGCCAGCGGCAGAGTGTCAGCGCTCCCCGAGGCTGAAGGCCCAGACTTGGCGAGAGCCGCACCACCTCCCGGCCCCGCCCCGCAGACCAAACCCCCTAGCACAGCCCTCAGGAATCAGGGAGCCCTCCTGCCTGGGCCCAGCCCCCTTCTAGCACGCCTGGCTGCCCGCCGGCGTCTGGGGCTCAGAGCGCAAGGCCCAGCCTTGGTGCCCACTGGGTCCCTCCCGCTGGCCACGTGCAGGGTCGAGGGCCAGCTGACCCAGCTCTGAAAGGCTGTTCCCTGAAATACCTGGACACGTGTTCTCGCTATGTGTGACTAAACAGTAAATGTTCCTTTTATTAATTTAACGCTTGTGCTGGGGGCTATCACGGCGTCTACTACCCTCCACCTTTGATTTAGCTGAGTTCCACTGTTTCCTCCATCAAAAACAAAAGGTATGAAATGAAAAAGTTTTATCTGTCACTTACCACAATGAGTTAAGAGGGTAAGAAGATTTACATAAAATGCAGAACAAGAACATCCCAACTCACACCCCGTCTCACCAGGGGCTCCACAGGCAGGCTGTGCCCTGGGCACCATCACAACTGTGAAACCCAGGCAGGCAGACGGCAGGGCGGCCCGCCCCGCACCTGGGCCCAGAGTCAGAGAGCGCGGGGCCGGGGAGGTGGGCCAGGCAGCGTCAGGAGGACCCTCAAGGAGACCAACACAGGGTTCCCGGGAGGCCTCCCACGAGGCTTCCATGCTCTCACTGCAGAGGGCTGGGTTCAGCCCCTGCCCGGGGAACCAAGATGCCAGAGGCCGCCAGGTACAACCAGAATTACAGAAACAGACACGAGGCGAGCAGCAGGAGGGCCGGCACTCCACTCCAGGCGCAGACCCAGAAACCGGGAACGGCCGCTCCCCAAACTCGTAGGCGAACGACTACATTCATGACACCCCCAGAGCAGCAGCGACGCCAAGGCCATCATCTGATGAAGGCTTCGTCCACACGAGGGAACACCGGTCGGGCAACAAAAGGACACACGTGGTACCACGGGTGAGCCACGAAAGCTCGGGGAAGCAGCCAGCCCCAAGCACACACGCCACGTGGTTCTGCGCGGGTCACACACCAGGAGAGGTTACCCAGCAGGTGTGGGAGGCGGACGGCGGTCCCAGGGCTGGAGCTGGGACAGGGACAGGCTGCCAGTGAGCTCCGGGTCGCCTCCTACAGGTGACACAAATGTTCTGGTCTCAGACAGCGTTGTGAGGTACCCGAACCACTGGTCTATGCACTTTAAGAGTGAATCTGACCTGAGTATCTCAGTCTGAAAAACTGTATGCGCAAAGAACAGGGGGCCGCAGGTGAGCCAAAGCCCGCAGCTGTCCCCAAAGCTGGCGACACTCCTGGGATCCTGCCCTGAGGCGGTGTGTCCCCGCCCTGGCTGGGCGTCGCATGCCCAGGTGTCTGTTCTGGGCGACAGAGCTGGGCTCTCCGGAGAGGAAGCCGGCAGGGGCAGGGAGGGTCCTTGGCCCGGCCCCCCTGACACGGAGCCCCTGGAAGAGCCGCGCCGGGAAGCGCCTGCTTCAGTCCAGCGGAGTCACAGTCAGGGAGGAACCAGCCAGCAGGGGAGCAGCCGGAGTCAAACAAAGAGCAAAGGGCAGAAACACCAAGAGCCGCGAGACAGGCCCCGCCGAGACGTGAGGCCTCTGACCAAGGATTCTTTACACTCTACAAAATAAGGAGACAAAGCAGCGAAATGAATTTAGACACAGAGAGACAACAGGAGGGAACAAAAGCAGTAAAAAGACCATGCCAAGAAATAGACTTAAGGCATCATGCAATCTCTAAGAACACACTCAAGGGCCAGGAGCCTCCCGCAAGCTTGAATGGATGACAGAGATGAAGGGCATGGTGCTCCCAGTATGTAAAGATGGATGCTGTCCTTCAGTGACCCCTAAGTCCGGGGGACCCCACTCAAGCTGCAGAAATATTTCCTTCACAAAACTACAATCTGCTTCTAACTTCCTATGAGAAAAGCAATAAAAGTAAGAAGCTGTAAAAGAAGATAACACAAGAAAGATCAATTCCACCAGATATCACAATTATAAATGCCAGATGAGATTAAACATGTCCTTTACCTCTCGCTTTATTCCCAGATAAACTTTAAATGGATCGAATTTCAATTTGAGAAATGAGACCCAAAGGCCCTGGAAGGACCACAGAAGTCTTTCTTTTGTGTGACTGGTGAGAGCAAGTCCTCTGGAGTTACAATTCTAAGCTGCGGAGCCATAAAAGACAAGAGCTTGAAGTTTACCACTTAAGTATTTTTTCTATGAAAAACTACACAAAAAAATCCAAATCCCATAAATGAAATCAAGAGAAATGTCACACCAGGTGAAAAATTTGTAACTCCTATCACAGGCAATTAAACACACATAGGCACACATGAGTGTTATTTTGTATAGATGTCTCTATTATACATAAAGAACAAAGAGACTGATTCTACATGTCAATTTTTTTAAGTTTACCATCAGAAAAATGATTTAAGACCCTTAAAAATGCAAAGGATACTTGGCCTCATTCAACATAAAAGAAGTGCAAAACAAACACAGGAGACAGTTCCCCCGTGAGGGATGGCGGGGTGGAGCGGGGGACTGCTGCGGGCCCCGGGAGGACAGGCAGGATGGTGAGGGGCTGGCCACACAGGCCCGCATCCAAGGTGCATCCAAGCCCCGAGGGCCCCGTGAGGGATGGCGGGGCAGGGTGGGGGGGTGGGGGGCGCCACTGTGGGCCCCAGGAGAACGGGCAGGACAGTGAAGGGCTGGCAGCACAGGCCCGTGTCTAGCCTGTGTCCGGGCCGCCCCCAGGATGGCAGGAGCAGCAGCTCCGTGCTCACCCGGGGCCTCAGCAGGTGGGGCCGCGGCGAGCAGGAGCCCAAGTGCTTCCCACAGAGGAGGGGGCCACACACGGGTGGGAACTGAGGCTGGAACCCACGCCCTGGGCAGGGAGAGTGTGGCTCCTACTCAGGGACCAGCAGGGAGCTCCCTCTGCCAAGTGCATCTCAGTGATGCGCATCAGTTTATGACGAAGTACTTCCAGCCTGAGCAACTAGCATATCTAAGAACTTATCTTCTGGATTAAAGAACTAAAGGTAAGACTGGATACTAGAAAATTCCTAGAGGCAGAACACTCTTTGACATAAAACACAGCAATATATTTTTGTATTCATCTCCCAGAGATGTATGGAAACAAAAACAAACCAATGGGACCTAGTTAAAAGTTTTTACTCAGCAAAGGAAACGACAACCCACAAAATGGGAGAAAATATTTGAAAATGATGCAACCCACAAAGGATTAATCTCCAAAATGTACAAACAGCTCATATGGCTCAATAAAAAATTTAAAAAACTGGCAGAAGAAAGATCAAAGTAGACATTTCTCCAAAGACATCAGTTCAGTCCAGTTGCTCAATCCTGTCCAACTCTTTGTGACCCTATGGACTGCAGCACGCCAGGCGTCCCTACAGATGGCCAAAAAGACACAAGGAAAAATGCTCAACACTGCTAAATATTAGAGAAATGCAAATCAAAACTACACTGAGGTATCACCTCACACCGGTCAGAATGGCCATCAAAAAGCTTATCAACAGTTCAGTGCCAGGGTGTGGAGCAAAGGGACCCTCCTACGCTGCGGCCACTGTGGAGAACAGTGAGCAGGGTCTTTAAAAACCAGAAATGGAGCGGCCACGTGACCCTGCAATCCCACTCCTGGGCGTAAATCCAGAGAAAACTGTAACACATGCACTTTTATGCTCACAGCCGCCAGGGCATGGACGCCACCTGCATGTGCGTCGACAGAGGAGTGGATAAACAAGACGTGGTGTACACACACAACGGAATAGAAACCACGTCATGTGCAACAATATGGGTGAACCTAGACATCATACCAGGTGACCTGAGTACGTCAGACAGGGAAAGAGAAGGACATGATGTCACTTATATGTGGAATCTAAAACAAATTATACAAGTGAACTTACACACAAAACAGAAAGACACAGAACACAAATTTAGGCTTAGCAAAGGGGGAGGAATAAATCAGGAGTCTGGGATTAAAATATACACACTATTATATATAAAATAGATAACCAACAAGAATCTACCATGTAATACAGGAAACTATACTCATTAGTTTGTTAATAATGTATAAAGGAAAAGAATCTAAAAAAGAAGATGCGTTGTGTGTGAATATCTACGCTACATGTTTGACACTGACAACATCACTGTGCATCAGTTATATTTAACAAAAATAAAAACGACAACAGCAAAGGATGCGCCCTCTAGTTACCTCGCACACACGAGAGAATTCGCAGCAGCAGACAGGAAACGACTGCATGCCCACCAGGCGGACGGACAGGGGACCGAGCGATAAAGAAGGTCCTGGGCGGGAGAGAACGAGGCTGCAGTGCCGAACAGGCGCCAGGACGCCACAAGACAGCCCCACCACGAACGCACGTCT